AAGCTAATATCATTATCAAACGGTATTTAGGTCACATTTGATTACCTTTTTTTTCTGCTACTCAGATAAACTAGTCACACATGCATATATAAAACACATGATCGCCTACTTTATTTTTTCTCGCTATAGCTAATATGCATCACGGAAAAACAACACAAGAATCACTTTTATCTATAGTCGCGAATCGTTACTCGAAAGCCATTTTTCTACATTATTTTGTTTCTTTTGGTAACTATAGTATTCCTTATCTGTATAAGTAACTTCAATTTAAATCTACTACTGAACAACAGCATTATGTTTTATCTCATAATACCGATCATTTTGTTAATTTCCTACATTGTCTACAAGAAGCACAGTAAAAAAAGTCATTGTGTGTCAAATATTCCTGAATACGATCCTGCTATAGTTATTGGAGTCAGTCTTGGAGGAATGACTACCGCTGCTTATTTATCAAAATATTTCAAACGTATAACAATTATCGAATTAGATGATGTATTAAATGATACTCTCAGTAAATCCACACCCAATGAAATATTAGATTATCGCTGTCGTCTTGAAAGTCCGACGTCAATTAGGTCGTTCAGGCGTTAGTCAAATCTATCAAATACATATACTTGAAGGCGAAGGATTTGTTATATTAAACGAATTATTTCCTCATTTAAAAGATAAATTATTAAATGACTATGGTGGTCGTTCATATTCGTTAAAAGATGAAGCAAGACTAGTATCGAATGGTACTTTATTACATAAAAATTTAACTAAAAATCTCGAGTGGTTCGGTATTGATCGTTTTACTTTAGAAACAGTTTTGAGAAAAGAATTATGTTCACAATTTGGAAATCAAATTGAATGGAAATGTAATGCACGAGTAGTTCAACTAATTGTTGATCAATCAGCCAATACTGTTCAAGGTGTCAAATATCGATTAAAAGAAAATGTTGGTTCATCATTATTAGATGTCTATGGTGATTTTATCATTGACTGTACTGGTCGCAATACATCATCAATAAAATGGTTAAAAGATAATTTTAATTTAATTGTACCAACTATACAAATGCATTTTGGTTGCGGTTATGTTACATTTATAGGTGAAAGATTTAAAGTAGGAGATCTATCGTTGGATTCGAAGTTGATAATTTGCTCCAGCCCTAATACACCTCATAATAATACAGGATGCTATATACTTCCAATACGTGAAATAAAAACAAATGATGAAAATTCTCTGGGAATCTTATTGACAATTGCTCTTCATTGCGTCAATTCAGAATATGCCCCAAATGATTCCTATGAAAATATATTAGAATGGGCAAAAGAAAATCTAGAAAGCGAATATTATACAGTATTAAAATCAACAAAAGTATGTAGCCCATTAATTCCATATCGTCGAGCAATCGATGATCGAAAATACGTTGAATTGTTAGACAAAAAATGGCCTTAAAAATTATCTATTATTAGGCGATGCAATGTGTGCATTTAATCCTGTATATGGACAAGGAATGACACATGCATTGCGACATGCAAGAGAATTGAATAAAATATTTGAGGAACATCGTCATAAGTTAGAAGATATTTCTTATATTTTCAATCGACGTGCTTCAGTGATTAGTAAAGAATGTTGGCTTGCTTCTATCACAAATGATTGGAAAACGCCAACATTAAAAGTAATAGAAACTGATAAAAATGGTAAAATTGAAACTTATCAACGAGGCGTTGATTCTGATACAATGAAATGTTCTGAACCACGAGTACCTTTGATGATCAAATTTTTGCAATTGTACAATCATTGGTTTTTGCTTTGTGCATCGAAATCAGGGCAACTATCTACAGACTTTATGCAAGTTGTCAATCAACATTGCAGTCCATTTATATTAATGAAATCAACCACATTCTTGCAAGTGTGCTGCATGGTATTATTACATCATTTTCATTTATCTAAAAACCCATCTGCTTAACTCGAATATTTGAATTTTTTTATTCCGAACTTTTTGCATCAATAGAATTTGTATTCTTTTTAAAACTTTAAAATGACTTTTTTAGTTTTAGTTACTTTCGCTCGATTTAATCAAAATTTCAATTTCTAGCATATTACTAAAGAACGGAACCACATAAAACTACACATTTAGCAATGTTAAAAATTCACATATTTTTCGTTGCAGAACTCTATGCTGAGTAGTTTGGTAGTGATTTAAGATCAATTTGATGATACCTAAAGTCACAAAGATCAAAACTACTGTATTGAGTTTCACAAGGTCGGCACAGTCGTCGAAATCATGAGGTGTCTTACTAATTAATTTCGATCGCAATAACATCTTCTTAGATTGATCTCATCAGATAGAATTTTCAATTCTGCATCGATTCACATAAGAACAAGTCTATTTAAAAAAATGATCGGTGTCTTTTATTTATTACGCCATTGCTGGTCGATAATCTGATAGCTTAAAACTTGATACTGCTGATTGACTTATCGAAAGATGGAAAGAGTGTGGGTGCCTGAAATTAACATTTGTATTCACGTTCACACTCACACTCACATTCATTCAGAAACAATAAAATGAACTATTGAAATGGTGTGATGCTTATTCGAGTTCGAACTTAATGAGAGTGAGTTTCTGGCGATTGAAACAATCATAAACGTGAAGAATTTGCTCCATAGACACAACTATTACTATAACTCAATCATACATTTTCATATTCCAGAATTGTGCGGGGCGATAAAAAAGTAATTTGACATTTCAAACTTTTTACTAAGTACGGAATGATCACTTTATTAAAATTTTACTTGAAATTTTTGTTTTTTTTACTTGCATACTATTTTATTTCGCATAAAAAAACAGTACTTATCTTATATTCAAGTCTTATGGATCTAATATTAACAAATAAAATGTGGACATTGTCGAAATCGATGTTTGCCTTAAGCAAAGTTACCTTCAACAGAATATAATAATAAAAATGTTCTGAATAAATTTTAATCTCAAGAATTTCCTTTTTTTACACTGAAGCTTGACATTTATGTGTTATTTACCTTCTCTTTTTTTGGTAAACCAGAAAGTTCACACACAATTAATAGGAGTATAAATCATGACATGCATATATTCCATATATATGAATAAATGATCATTGCAAAGTCGAATAAGTTTTGTTCTGGAGATATTAAAATTTCTAAGAAGACTTGTTTCACATTCATTTGATAAATTCTATGTTTATTACATAAAAATTCAATAATATAGAATTCAATTTCGTCTTTTGATTGTAAACATTTTTCTTCAGGTATATTTTCATCTGTTTCTAATTTTAAAGAAACAACGAAAGCATCTTAGGCATATTCTCCTTTAATAGAACCTAATAATTTGGATATAGGTTTCAATCGAATGATTGACGCATCATTTAGTATACAATAATCCGAAACAGTAGCACATACATAAATTAATACCAATCGACTGAATAGTTTGAATTAATAATAAAGTTGTTTACGATTATTCAAATAATATATTATTACTGTTTACAAAGAAAATGCAAGAAGTGAATTTTCGTGTTTATGGTATTAATCAAGATAATAATTTGTATTTGACTCCAATTCATCGAATATATCCTTAATCTAACGTTGATAAAATAACATTGACGACAGGCTGTAGAAAAAGAGTACAATCTTACAAAAAAAAGAACTTAAAAAAGTGCCTATGAAGTTCATCAAGGAACTGCGGTACTCATTAAAATTTGATTTTTCGATTTAATATGTACACATGAATAAGAAATGTCTAAAAAATCCAAATCCAAATTTTTAACATCTTTGGTTATTCTGATAGAACAGTGCTAAAAACTATGTTAGTCATTTATGTTGACAGAGTGTTGGTCGAAATATCTGCTCTATACATTAGAAGATAGAGAACTAAAAGCTGAGTACAGTAGCTATTGGCCGATCTTGTTTATTTTTCTGAGCGAGTTATAGGAAAAATTGTCGAAAATGGAATACAATCCAGGTCTTAAATGTATTTGAACAATATGTTTGTCCACATATTTCTTGCGTTTCAAGATGTGAGTATCAAAATGAACGTGCTAGCTTGATTCTTTAAATTCGTGTTACTTAATTATTAACTAAATGCATTGTTTGAACTCTGTGTTTGCACAATATGGGACCAAAACATAATCTTTATGTAATTGGAAACAAGCACTGACATCAAATGCATATTGTAATAAAAGCTCTCGCTCGGTCCCCAAAACTTTTACGAAAAAGTCGTCCTTGTAGTTCAAGCACATAAAGAAAACACACTATTCATTGTCAATCTGTGAACTTGACACAACGACGAGATTGCCCGAGATAGATTGTGGTCGAATTCAAAAAACGATCGAAAACGGACAATTGTAAATTCCGATTGCGGTGAAACCTGATATTTCCTAAGTAGGACGTAAGTGAGCCATTCAAAGAGATGGATTCTAAAGACCGAGCTACATGAATAGTAGAATAAGAGGAACAAGTGATTGGATGATCATTGAGTTCCGAATCGTTGAGTGGCGCCTTACCAGCGAATGTGAAATGAATAGCTAGTGTTACTTGATCAATATAGCCCTGTTTTCACAAACAGCTAAATAGCTAATAAACCCAATTGTATTATTTTAAAGTGACCATACTTGATAAAAGTTGAAACCGTGTTCAAATAAAAAATCGAAAATAATACCAATGGTAACATTGCCTTGAGTTGCTGCAATGGAAGACAAGACTGAACAGCTGCGCTTCAATATTCCATTGACATATATATGTATATTATCTCGGCGCAGTTCTGTCATAGACATATGCCACATGTATCCATTTGTTTATTGACCGCGATATAGTACCTAGACAATTATCGTCAAAAAAAAGCCGAAGTCTAGATAGTAGCCCCTAGGTTAGGATTGCGTATTATCAAATAGAGACACTGGTAGAGTGAAGCCGATAGACATAAACCAGAAATACTGTGATATTTCAAGTTAGCAAAACCAGTAAGATCACGAACATATTGATTAGCTGCAGCTATGAAAAATATTTGTCTTAATTTCCTGCAATCTTTTTCTGCCATTTTACTCACTCGTAGGAGCAGTCGTAGTTACCGTTGGTGCAGCGTTAGTTGGGTGTGGGTGTGAGTGGATGTATGTGTGTTTGTGGGCGTGTGCTTATTTGCTAGAGGAGTACCCGAAGGGGGGAAAAGCGAGACTCCTAGAGTGCTTACTCCATTTGTACTCCAGCTGTGCTCTAACTGTACTCCATCTGTATTCCACCCGTACTCCAACTCTACTCCATCTGCACTGTATCTTTACTTTCCTGTTACCAACTCTACTGCGGTTCTTGTTTGACAGTATTCAATTAATAGCTTATATTCAGTGTAGGTAACACGAAAGATCTCCAGTTAAGAGAACTGAATCTTGCTCTAAGGCTATATAACTGTTTTCAGAACAACTTAGCGATACTAAGTCTAATTTTGACGTGTACTGGGAAATATCACCTTGAGTCTATAAAATAAAAGCCCATTTGAAAATAAAGTACGGGTATTACAAGGTGCTTTTTTGATCTCTTAAGTTCGAAGGACCAGCAAATACTTCAATCCTCTTTTGCCGCAAATAGGGGTGGCACTTTAACATTAAACTTTGAATGTTAAAGTGGTTAAAGTTTAAAGTCGCACTTTAAACTTTGAAAGTTAAGGTTAAAGTTTAAAATAGTACTGAGCTTTAAAAGTTAAAGTTTAAAGCATAACTTTAAATTTTATGAGTTAAAGTTAAAGTAGCCATACTTTAAGCCTTTACTTTAAAAAATTTAAAGTAAATGGTTTCCTATAAAAAAAATTTTTCTTAAAAAATCATAAAAGTTAATAAACGTTTATGAAGGTACCCATAATTGTGCATGCGCCGTGTAACGGGATCATTCATAGGTTATCTACTACATGACGGGGTACCCTTGAGTCATCATCTATTGTGTAACGGGGGTACTCATGGACAGAGCTGCCAACTATACCCCATTTTGGGGTATTGTACCCCATTTTGCTATTTCGTACCCCGAAAAAAACTGTACCCCTGAGGTACACTTTTTGTACCCCAGTTTGGAGTTTTGATGCTTTCTTTCCATAAATTGGTCTTTACTGGAATAAATAGCATTTTTGCGATGGATCCTGCAGTGCCACGGTAGTGATAGAGACCTTTATACTAAACAACATTGGTGAAAATTGGACCAATAATTATTAGTACCTTTTTTATTTTAATTGTTTACTTTTTTACGAAGGTTCTTCATATTGCGATGAAAATGAAGTTCAATTAGTCGTTTGTTTTTCTTTTCATTTACTATTTTTATGTCATACTCGGTTTATGTAATATTTTTGAAATTAATTTAGATTCAAGTTTCAACTCAGTAGATGATGATACTAATATTTGTTCAGAATTCGACAATGAAATGAAATATTAGTATGTGATGAGTCTGAACCAGGAGCAACAACAATAAATGAAGCATCCTTTGGTTCCATTTTAAAATCAACCACAAATGTCAAAAAATCAAGTTCATCATCAGAATTCAAACGATTTTCTATTTTCAAGAAGCGATGGATAAAAGATCCTAAATATGCGTGTTTTCTTCAAGAATGTAAAGCAGGTCCTTACCTTGCACATTGTTCAATTTGTAAATCAGATTTTTTAATTGCTAATGGTGGAACATATTTAATCAATCGATATCTCCACCAAACTGATCATAAACGTTTAGTTGAAATTCAAGCTAAAGAACAATGTAAAGCATATGATCGATACACAAAAACATAACATTAATTAATTTGTTTTTCTTGTTAAATACGTTCAATGCATGATTTTACAACCCCACCAAGTTTATTAACAAAATTAACTGCAGCTGAACTTAGTCTTGTGTATCACGGTGTACACCATGGGTCTAGTTATGTTAGCCAATCATGCACAGTTGATCTGGTGAAAAAAGGTTTTTGATGAATCAATTATAAGACAACAAATTAATTGTGGTAAAACAAAAGCACGTAATTTATCTGTTAATGTTCTAGGTACGATAATATATGCTGCTACAAAACTTATGTAACGAGAAAAATAAGAAAATATTCAACATATTTATATTGAGAAAATAATTATGCTCTAAATTTATTTTCTTTCTTTAGCAAGGTGCTTTTAATTTTAGCCCCTTTTTTCAAATCCAAAATCATTGAACAAACCAAGAAACATCGTTTTTATTCAGTATCTTTTGATGGATCCAGTAAAGGAAACATCAAGATGTTTCCATTCATCATAAATCATTTTACTCTTCAATCAGGTTTAGTAAGATCTGTATTAGAGATTGTTGAACAACCTCGTGAAACAGCTGATCATATTGTTGCTGTGTTACGTGAGGGTGTAGGTGTGGGTGTGTGGGTAAAGAGAATAGGTACACCCACACCCACCCACACCCCACACCCACACCCACACTCACACCCCACACCCGCACCCACACCCACACCCACCCACACCCACACCCTGAATCAATACGTTCTTGTAATTTACTTTAAATGAATGTGATGATTCTATATAAATCAACGAATGTTGTATAAGAGCGTTGTGGCTCAAGGTTTTTCTTATAAATTTCAAACAATATATGTTGTAAAAAACTTAATACACAAGGAACTTCATCACGTTCAAAGAATTGTTTTATTTCTAATGGACAATTTTCTTGTTCAATAAAATATTTTTTAACAAGTACATAAACTTCAACTAAACGTTCTATAGATAATTATAAACTTAACCACCTGAGCTTGATACGTTTCAGAATCACCTACAATTAAATAAAATATTATAAACTAGGTTAGTATATGATCAATAATGACTAGTAAGAAATATTCTTACTTTAAAATCTTGCTCATAAAACTCATAGTATTGTTTGAGTTCATTGATACGTTTGGCTGAANCGACTTGAATTTTTTCTTAATTTTTTCTTGTATTTTTTCATTGAAAATTTGATTATATATTATTTTCGTCTTTAAAACAAAAGACACTGCATCACATGTGTAGTGTAATGTAAGGTAAGGTGAAAAATATCTTCTTTTTTCTTCGGAAATAATTTACGACAATAGTTAAAATTCCATATTTCGTTGATTGAGTAGGATATCGATTTTGGTACTAGTGATTAAATAAATCAAGCAAATTAGGCAGTTTTCTATAAGAAATGTAATCTTGTATTAGACCTCGCAAAAGTATATAGGGCATCCGAAAAGTGATCTACCAATAAAGAAAATTATAAACCTCCACTGCGATTAAGCCAAATGAAGTGGCTTCTTTTCTAATAATAGAGGAGATTATAAGTTTTTATTCATAAAGCTAAAGTTCATAAATACTTTCTGAAAACTATAAGTTTCGGATTCAATACATAAAAAATTCCTTTTTTTTTTCAAATTTTTGAAAAACAAAATGTCAGATTTAACGTATAAAACTGAAATAGTTCAGCAGAAAACTCAGTATTTAACTTTTTACAACTTGAAAAAAAAGAAGTTTTTTAATGTATTGAATTAGAAATTTATAGTTTTCAAGTGTATTTATGAAATTTAACTTTGTGAATAAAAAGTTACAAGAATCTTTCCTATAATCAGAAAAAAGCCGCTTGATTCGTTTTAACTGTAGCAGAGACTTATAGGTTTTTTTCATAGATCACTTTCCGAACACTTTGTATATTTAGAAAAAAAGGTGTACTCGATTGAAGATTTCATCTTTAATGGACAAGACAAACGAAAAAAGAATGAATTTTTATATCGAATTTTGCATTGATTATTGCTATGGCAAACAATTTAAACAAATGTCAACACTGTTAAAAGATCTTTGAAATAGAAAAAAAACATGATTAAAATATTTGATTAATGAATTATCATTTGATTAAATAATATTCTTTTCTGAATATCGGTCCATGAATTTTTTTTATCTAGTGACATTGTCCAACACCGTGTGGTTTTTGTTCATAGGATAATGTTTTCATAAGTTGAACATTAATATTAAATCGATTTAAAAGTAATTTCAGAAATGATTCAGCATGTAAATTTTCTATGTAACAACGACTAAGATCATGCCATCGTCTCATATATTTCTCCATTATAGACATGGAACCAATGGCAAATCGATCATTATAACCACCAAAACCATTTTCATTTGGAATAACTAATGTCGAATTATTTACGGGTTCTAATGTTTGAGGAACTCTATTGAGAACAGAATCCAGTCGAGCTCGTATTAAAAATTCATAACGAATATTCATTTTCTGTTCATATTCTTTTACTAAATCGAAGCATTCAGCAAGCCCCCACAATTGTTGATAGTAAGGTATAACATGTGATCTACTCATAGTTGGATGATAGAATGTTTTACAATTCAATGGTATATGTGGATTAATAACTCGATCTTCATAAAGTATAGTTACTGTAGAATTCAAGTAGGCACGTATTTGTTTCAAATTGACATCAAACGGAACCTTTTCTAATTTATGAGACGATGAAAGAAAAAGAAATGCATCAATGTTACCTGGAAGATGATAACGAATAGTACTCCAAGTTGGAACCCAAGCGTCTTGAATGCATTCAGCAAGACCAGTTACACATACAGCTGCTCGTTTTTGTATTATGGGAGGTGAAGATAGTGAAATAATTGATGGAAATGAATAACCAACTGAATGAAGATCAGCAAGCCATGCATCCATTATATTAACTTCTTTTGACTTCCAAAATCCTGCTTGAGCTATATCTCTTGCTAATTGAGCTATTCTTTTCGAAAGTAAACTGTAAGATGATGACCATGAAACAAGAAAACGAACAAATGAACCAGATTGATGATATAATTGATATTCATCATCCATATCTTTAATAAATGAATGACTATTTCTTAATTGTTTAACAGTTGATCTACCAAATATAAGACGACCACCAATATCCCAAAGAAGTCGTTGTACCCAAAAACTTCGCCATATATCACATACACGAAATGATGTTGTAATAGGTAAATAAAGACCCCAAATGCTTCATAATATGTTATTGTATTTTGTGTATTATATGGTGAAAATGTAAATGGTTCAAGAGCAATAGGTGGTTGATCTTGATCAAATTGAATTCGTCCAATTGAAAGTGGATGAGATAAACGATACTATGTAAAATAATGGTTAGTACGAAAGTTTCTGAACAACGTGTTTCTTTATTTGTCGATCAATTACAAGACTCAGTAGAAAATTAAAAGCATTGGATTGGAATTTGAATTTTCGACTCTTTCTGAATATATGTATGCGGATTGTGTGAAACTTATAAGGTAGAATTTATGAAGGAATCTTTGAAAGTCCCGAAAACAATAATCTTTGAACGAATTTCAGTGGGTTTCTTTGACGTTTCTATCAATAATAAGACTTCTAATGAAAGATAGATTGATCTCTTCGAAATTATAACATCAGGTTGATTATTTCTGAAGGGTTGCTATGAAACTTTTAGTTCTTAGATCCCATTGTAGAGGACTGTGTCACTCTTTGTACTCCTGTAAAAAAAAATTGGTAATAGAAGATATTCAATTAATGCATTATTACTGAGACGGACCTGTATACTGTTTAAGTGCTGATCGGAAAAAAATCAGAACGTGATGAAGTCAAATAAAAGACAGTGAAACTAAGCTAAATTGGGCTTCTTGATGAATAACATAAGAAAGTAGCATAAATATCAATTTCAAATGAGATACAATCGGATTTGCCCTTTTTTAGATCTACTTGTTCTCCTGCTTCCATCTAGACTTTATTTTCAAGCCATTCAAAGATTTATTCGTAAGTTCACACGTGAATCTCACAAAAAATCTGAACATATATTCAGAAAGAGTACGAAAGTTTGATTCTAATTCAATGCTTTCAATTGTCTGCTAATTACAAAGAAGACATTTTTTCCCAGAAACTTTCACACCAACCGTTAATAGAGATTTGTTTGATTCATTAAATGAATATACACATAAAAACCTAAAATAAAAAAACTTACAATAGCATCAACATCAGGATCAAGATCAGCAAGATATTGTTGAATACAAGCATAAGTATTATTTTCAAGATTTCGTCTAACTGAATGCCATCCGTCTTCAGTAATATTTCTTAGTTCATTAATAGGAAATCCTCTTGGCCATATATTTGGATGACCAAATCATCCATAGATATTAATAAATGGTGATCGTTGTCGATGAAATCCTATCCATGGAACATGTTTTTGTTGAACAATTTTTGGTAAAAAATAAATATCATTTGTTTCAAGTAGATTATCATCATCAGATTCGAAAATAATTTTAGCACCACATTTAATAGCAGTTAAATAACCAAGATTTTTTCTTGCATATGATCCATATGGTAAATAATGAAGAATACGAAAATCAAGAGTATTTTGTTGTTCGATACTAAGATAAATAAGTCGAGAAGAATTTATAGAAAGATGTAAGAGCCAATCTTTTGGTGTTTTTTGATCACCAATAACAATTAAATTCCATTGAGTAGTTAAATTAAGAAATTTATAAATCGCTTTTGTTGGATAAAAAATTGTTGTAACTACAATCCATTTATCTCCTCGTACAGGACATTGAAATGTCTGTAATTGTTTAGGATTCCATAATGAAATACTTATCAAATTGGAACTTGTTTCTAATGATAATAAATCTCTAATATTATTGCCAGAAAATAATGAAATAGATAACATGAGTGAAGTAATACATATAATAATAGTTAATCGAATATGTTTGTTGCGTACCATGTTGTCCAATAATGTAATATGTTTATTTAACACATCATATAAATATACCGAAGATTATTATAGTAATTTCTTTAAAGAAAAGATAAGAAATTAAGTTTATTTTATTTTTGTAAGAAAATCTTTATTGAATGTCAACTCGTATAATTTGTATTCGAATCAACAATATTCAAGGCTCTATACCATAAAAAAATTCGCTTAATACAAATTACTTTACATATACTTTTCTTTGAGTATAAAGAGACATGTATACACTACTCATATACTCTTTCGTACTTTCATACCATTGCTAATGTAGTGTTAATGATCATATAAAACAATAATTTAAAGAAAAAAGTATGAAATAAGAAAAGCTTATATATGACGCAAATAGTTCACTTTATCGATTTTTTATACTCATTATTATATACTTGAATTATTCTTTATATTTGTTATCATGTCTAATGAATGGTTACTACGACGAAATATTAATGAACAAAAATTTATTTTGAAATTTTGTTTTACTTTAACATATCGAAGTTTATTATTTTTTACAATAATAATAATATTTTGTTTTTTACTTTGGTTAAAATGGAATTCAACATCACTACATACTATTATTGAATATAAAGGAAAAATGAATTCAAAATCAACAAAAATATCATCTATTCCAACATTAGCTCGTATAATTTATTTATTTCTATGTGAAAATCAACTTGAAGTTGATTCATATTCGAATATATTCCCTAGTATATCAGCTGATGCTGTATTTTATTGTTGGCGTGAAAATTGTAATTCATCTCGTTTTCGTTCGTCAATTTATCTTTATATAAATATATGGTCAAGTGATACAAAAAGAAATGAAACATTGATTTCTTCTCAACCAGTATCATCCTTTTATCATATTAAATCTCGTATATTTATTATAAATGAAAAAGAACTTAATATTAAAGAAAAATTAACTTGGACAACAGCAAGAAATAAATTATATGAATTAGCATTAAATGAAGAACAAAAGCAAGGTTGGCGTTGGTCATATTATAATTTTGCTGATGGTGACATTCATATAGCATGCCCACTTGCTGAACAATTATTAACAAAAAAAACAATTATTGATTATGGTCAAAATGAAGAATATTTATTTGCTTCACATTTTTATGCATTTATTAATTTAACAAAACTTGCAATTGGAGAAGAAAAATGTTTTTTACTTTTTGATGCATTTCTTTTTTCTATATCCCCTGCTATTGCAACTGTATCTGGTACAAGTGGTCCTATGGCGTATTCTGGTCTTCTTACACAAATTGTTTATCATATAGATGCTATGTTTAATGCAATACATCGTGATGCTGTAGCATTTTTACTTCCTTATTGTCCTAGATATGATGGACGAAATTGGTGGACAAGTCAAGCTATATTCATTTATCGTTCGTTATGTCTTTATGGACATGTGATTTTACTTGATGGTATCCATATAATGAAACAAAATCATCGTTCATATCCACGTACTGGTGATCCATGGGCAATGAATGATGATATGAATTTAGTTCCTAACTATCTTCTTCGTCTTAAAAATTATATGAAACAAAGTCGTTTTGTAAGTCCGTTAGTTTTACATCATTACTCTGGATGGAATCTTCATTTAACAAGTAAAACATGTCGATATAATCATACAACTATGAAACTTGATACGTGTCTTGTAATTGGTAATAATATGAATGAATCATATTCTTTGTCTTATTCATGAAATTATTAAACCAAAAGAAAAAAAGAAACAGAACTCAATAAGATTTATTCTTATTTTCTCGTTATTGTTTTTTCATCTGTTTGTCTGAATTTATAATACAAGTGACTAAACAAGGGAGGCCCTCTGACTGATTAATCGCTTCGAAGTCGAGATTTTGTACATTAGGTAGACTGAAAAGAATCCAGACCCTTAGTTTCTTGCTTTGTAAATGCCGCATTGTTACAGTAGTTTTTAACTGAATACTGTGGCCTCCATTAGGAAAACTGATTTTCGAAACTCGACTTCAAACTTGGTGCACAATCAGATCTTAACGAGAATAATTGATTGTAAGATTTTTAAGTCTTGTGATTTGCTTCTATCCTGAAATAAGAACCACGACAAGAATTAAAACATTTATAAAAAAAAAAAAACTATTCTTGCTAAGAATTGTCTTTATACAAAGTTTGGAATTTCAATTCGACAATCAGTTTTTCTTATATCAGTCTACATAATGCACAAAGTCCGAACTTAAAAGCGATTAATCAATTAGAAAACTTTCCTCGTGAGATGAAAGTTTTGAACACGAATAAGAACAAATTGTGTGTTAATGTTTTCAAAATATTAATATTATCTCTCAATGATATTATCCAAATAAAAAAAAAATAATGTTAAATAAATTCTTTTGATGAATATATATTTATTGCGAAGATTAAAAGATATAACGAGAAATAGAAAAATGACGCTTATTTTTTCATATAAAGATGTACGCGAAAAAAAAAATTGAACGAAAAAAAAATGAAATAAAATGAGTTCTCCTTTTTTTAATGAGCAAAAGTACCAGCTATTTGTTTTCAATCTTTTGAGCATAAGTTTGTTGTTTGCTTGTTGTATCATAATTTGAATCCAAGCCATAGTTTTTGTCATATGATGGTTCATAATAATCATATCCTCCTTCAACTAAAGTTTGGCTATATTGTGGTTTAACGTAACGAAAATTTGTTTTAACACCATCAGTAAATTGAACTCTCTTTTCATCAAAAGCAAGGCCTGATGTAGGAGGAGCTGTACCACCGACATTAACAGCTGTAAGATTAAAAGAAAAGAATAACATGATGAAAATGTTAGCAAACAAAAAAGAACTATTATCGAACCTGGTGATTGTTGAATAAATGGAGCTACATCTACATTAGGTGGTGGAGATGCACCTGTACTAACTAACGAAGCATATCCCCATTTAATAAGTTGAGCAACAGCAAAACGTTGACCATAAAAATTAATCAATGGTGGTAAAATATAGACTAAAACAATATTTATATATTTATTCTTCTATTTAGTAAAAGATACTTACTGCCGCCTGTTGGTGAAAAAATGATTGTTTGATAAGTAACTTTATCGTAAAAGATTGGAAGCCATGGAAGAATTGAAACAAGTGATGGGAAACGTCCTAATTAAAAAAAAAAGATAAGCATTTCTAACAATGAGAAAAAATAAATAAGACAAGTGAAATTTACTAGTAGGAAATTGATGATAGTTTGGATAATGACGAACAGGAAAACGAACGCGTGCATATAAACGTTGTTTGCGATAGTTTTCTTTCTTATTATCATCATCGTCACTGGAATCTTCATAATCTTGTTCTTCATTATAATTTTCATTGTCACAATATTCACCGCGTCCTTGTCCATGACATCTTAATCTATCGTCAAGTAGCCAACCATTACTATAGGCAATCCAAAGATTTAATGAGTCCAAAGGTGATCTTTGGTTTTCATTCATGATACCATAACTATCATCGTCGTTATCTTCACGATTTCTATCATATCCTGGACGTTTTCTTTTATTCTAATTGTAACCAAAAAGAAATAATAAGAATTTTTATTAAATATATTACTTACGTCGTATTTAGCTGTGTTTGTACGAAAGTATGATACGAAAATTTGAAACTAATAAAAAAAAAGAAAGTGAAAAAAATGAACTCACATGGTCTACGCGATCTTTTAGTTGTTGTAGCTAAATCATTTGAAAGCAATAATAGAAAAAAGAAATATAAAGAAATTTAACTGACTTGATCTTTTTGTAGTTCTAATCATTGTAGCTAAATTAATAGAAAATAAGTAAAAAGAAAAATAAGCGTAAAGAAATTTAACTGACTTGGTTTTTGCGTAGTTCTAATCGTTGTAGCTAAATTAATAGAAAATAAATAACAAAAAAAATAAGCGTAAAGAAATTTAACTGACTTGGTTTTTGCGTAGTTCTAATCGTTGTAGCTAAATTAATAGAAAATAAATAACAAGAAAAATAAACCTAAAGAAATTTAACTGACTTGGTTTTTGCGTAGTTTCAATCGTTGTAGCTAAATTAATATAAAGTAAACAACAAGAAAAAGTAATATAAAGGAATTCAACTAACTTGGTTTTTGTGTAGTTTCATCTGTGTCAACTAAATTAATTTAAAGTAAATAACAAGAAGATGAAATATTTTAAAAACTTTAACTGACCTGTTTCGGACACACTTTTAACTGTTGTAACTAAATTAATTTAAAAGCAATTAAATGAAAGTGAAACAAAGAAATTAAACATATCATTAACTATAATGTGTAAAAGTTTCTTTTTCTTACCTTCTTCGACAGTTGTTCCTTTTTCACAATCGTCGCCTTCACATAATGAATCAGCAATGGTAGTTGCAACTGTCTCATCTTCTCCATTGACATATGCAATAGATAATATGAACAGTATCAAAACGGCACTGCCACGTAAAAGAATCTTGTTCAAATAATGAAATAAAATAGATCACAAATAAATATCTTTTAATTGAACAGAATCTCACATACCTTTCGATGCATTGTTATTCGTTTGTAATTATTTTTTACATTAAAATAAAATACATTGAAAAGATTCTCTTTTTATAGGCTGTTAGTTCTCTCTCTCTCTCTCTGTCTTTCTCATTGCTTGTAAAATACCTATCTGCCTACATTATAACATTATTTTCATTTTGTTTAGAACGAACTGATAATACAGATATTTGACTGACGTCATGTAAAAAGGCGTTTAGTTTAAGAAAAAATAGTTTTCTAAGTATTTGAATAAAAAAATCAGATATTAATTTTTCGAATTTCAAATACCATGAAAACTATTTTTTCTATGTAGATTTTCGTACGTGATGATAATGAATTTGACGTTAAGTGAATTCTTACTTAGAAACACATGATTCAAGAATAAGTTTAGAAATAATTATTGAAGAGAATTGTTCATCGTTTTTCATTTTTGATATTTAATAAATTGATAGATAATACTAATTATCATACACAAATATTTATCAGTATTAGAAATCTTTGAATTTCGTATTATTCGATTGTATACTTATACTACCTTTATTTTTCGTTTATAGCATTGTAGATATCTATTCTATTCAATCAGACATCAGACTAAGACCTATTTAAGTATTTCATAATTGTTCAATAGGTTTTTCGTCATATAATAACAGAATTACAAAACATTCGAAAATATCATATAATCATTTGTTCTATTTTGATTTCTCAATTGAGTAAATTATATTCGATCAATAATAGGTTCAGTCTCGATCAAAGAAAGAATCCAACTAGATTTTAGAAAGTCAACGATTTATAGATATTCAAGAAAATCAATTAAATTCAGCAGACAATAACGATTTATGAACATAAGAAATGGATAGAGGAAAATTATAAAGGTCATTAATTGTTATAGTTACAATTGTGCCTGGATTCTCTTATCTTTTTTCTATGCAAGACTATTTAGAAATGAGTTATCAGTTTGCAATTTATAAGAAAAATGAATCAACCTGGATCCATCTTCGCTTGATGCCTGAGATAATATTATTTGATCATACGAGTTTCGAGCAACTTTTTATTATAGAATGAAAGTTACTATTTCAAAATTAACTAATAAACGATATATATTAATATTTATATTTAATATATCGGTGACAATAATATAGTTTTGAATTATAACAGATTTGATGTGACTAAATTCTTAATCAATACGAATAAGAAACAATTTTTTATTTAATCGGTGACGTGATATGAAGAAAATTTCGGTTGTAATAAAAAATGTTTGTTAAGTTAAGTTATTGCATTTATTATATAATGTAAAATAAGGTATAGAGCTTTGATTTTCAATAATAATTTCTATGATTTTTATTTTGCAGACTATTATATCAATTGAATTATATATTTTATTTTTATTTATCACTTGACTAAATCTAATAGATAAATTCTTCTTTCAGTGATATACAAAAAAAAATGTATCACAATATGTTAGAATTTACAGAGAACCACAGTCAATGAACAAATATAAATAAATTCAAACGAAAAATTCTGTCATTTAGTTCATATATTGATGTATTTTACATAATAGCACGTACTAACGAGGGAACGTTCCCAAGTGATTAAAAGCTTTTGAGCTCATATGTTGCCCATTAGGTAGGGGACTACTAGATTAGAGAAACCTCCAAAGGATTCGTGCCCATATTGAGATTTGACAGAGATATCGAATTTTTAGTGGATTTTTCCTGCTGGACCCTAGTTCTACAGCAAAATCATATTTTCGAATTTCGACCTGAAANTTAAATCTAGAAAAAGAGAACGTTTTAACACTAGAAATTTAAGTTTTCCACCGTTTTCACGCTTGAAAATTGACTATTTTGTACAAAAAACGTCGTTTCTTGCGTTTTTTTAATGAGCGTGAATGGATCACAGTCGCGGTTCCCGATTGTGCGTTTAAACGCGTTTTTCGAAAGTTTTGTCTGCCTGGGTTATCCTTATTCGTGACTGATAGTGACCTCTTTTGATTGCGTTTAGTATTGACTAGTTTCTCATGACCGATATACATCCTTTTTTTTTTCTTTCTTTCTTTTTCTTCCTTTTTTGGGAGGTTGTTCTGACTACTGGACTTGTTTGTTTATTGTGTTGCATAACTTGAGACAATTAATTGATTCTTATTGAATAACAATTAAATAACTGTATATATATATTTATATACATACACATATATATTATTTTAGTTTATAATATTTCTGATCAAGCAAAAACGATGTTTATACGAGTAGCTGATGAAGCAAAACATACTGAAATTGTTGAAATTCCAGTTGATGGTGATGCCGATGGATCAGTTTCATTGAGCACACTCGCTGCTCAATTTCAAGGTGTGAGTGCATTGAAATATCGCAATTCTGAGACGAGTGTGTGGAGAGGGTGAGTGAACGTGTTTGTTTGTTGTTTTAGATTTAATGTGTGTTGAGTGAAATGTGCGGTGGTTATATTCCTCCCCATTTTGCACTTTTTAGCTTTTATGTAAACTATACTTGTATTTAATTATGCTATACATATACGTATGTCTTTTTTTTTATGTCTCAGTGTTCGAGTAGTGGATGGCAAACTTTATCATCCCGATAGTGCATGGGATCCAAATATTGTTTATGTTACTGTTTATTCGAAACGTAAGTTAAATATTTTAATGAATAAAAACAAAAATAATTCTAAATTTCTTTTTTTTTTCATTAATGATAGCTGCTTCATCAGATATTAAACGAAAGGGAGTTGCTGAACAACAAGATGAAACAATAATATCATCTATAGGACAAAGTGCAGCACAAAATCTTGATTATGGAGAAGAAATAAATAATATTCCTAATGAAGAAGATAATGATCCAAATCGTCGTTGCGTTGATTTAATTGTACTCGGTATAAGTTATCGAAGTCTTGAAGCTGATGTTAAAAAATGTTTCGAAGCATTTGGTGAATTGATATTTTGTGAAGTAAGAATAAATATTAGAAAAAAAAGAATTTTTTTTTTCTTTGACAAAATTTGTTTCTATATAGATCAAACGAGATGCTAATGGACAGTCACGTGGTTTTGGTTTTATTCGATTTAAAAATTATGAATCTCAACTGGCTGTTATAAATAAACGTCATTTTATTGATGGAAGACATGTCGATGTTAAAATTCCAGATTCTAAAGTTAGAAAATTTCTTTTTATTATTCTCTGATGAAATTTATAGGGATGAGTCAATGAAGTTAAATATACTAGTCGAATCTACTAAATAAAAATAAGATTTCGTTTTGTTTTGGCTCTAAATTTGACTTTTTTTGTTTTGTTGCAATAATAATTCGAGATGTGCAGGATAAGCTTTTTTTAATTCCCTGATTAGGGCAGACTTCATTCGCAAATGTCTGACTTTCTACTAATTTGTCACATCTTCAAGGTGACTTTGGATAGGAATCAGATTTTTGAAACATCATTTGCCTTTCTCCGGCAACAATATCGTTTTGAGGTAAATAGTGGCGACATGATGATAGGTCATCTGTTGTGGGAGGGACCAGGTCACAGTGAGCTTTTTCTCCCCCTCCCCCTCCCAAATCTCTACTTTTAATATTCCGAACTGTGTACATGTTTACTATTGATTAGAAAATAGGAACAGTGACATGATAGTTCTATAATTAAATAGAAACTTCTAATATATCTTTAATCTTTTAATAGATTTATTTAATATTAAACATTTTTATTTTCTTAGACAAATATACATGAACCTGAATGTGCTCGAAAAATTTTCGTTGCTCGTCTACCGGATAATATTACACCAGATGATTTACGACAATATTTTTCTAAATATGGAGCTATTAAAGATGTTTATATACCAAAACCAGCACGTTCATTTGCTTTTGTCACCTTTCATGATTCAAATATTGTACGAACATTATTTGGTACACATATTATTAATGGTAAATTAATTATTTAAAATTATTTTGTTTTGAAAAAAAAAAAATTTTTTTTCTTAGGTTCTAGTGTAACAGTTGGACCAGCTGAACCAAAAAATAAACCATCGGCTATTGGTGATTATCCTTCATCAACATTTAAACGAGCTAAACCTGATCATACTAGTTTACGTACATTAACATCCTATGGTATTTCATCAACACCTCCAAGCTTTCATCAACAATATGGACAATCACCGAATACGGATATGATGCATGCATATTTTCAACAATTCAGGGCTAATACAACTGCTTCATCGAAAGGACCATTTTCTAATGCACAACAATCTTATTGGAGTGGTGCACATGATGAAGCAGCTGCAATGTGGCAACAACAACAACATTATCGATAGAACAATTCGAATAAATAAAACAAAACAAAAAAACATGATGTTTTTTTTCTTTTCAAAACTATAATTCGACTTTCCAATGGTTTTCTTTCTTTTTTTTTTCTTGTCGTGTTTTTAAATGTGTATGTGCCTGTAAAGAGAGAAGAAGAAAGAAGAATAAGAAAAAAATATATATCGTCGTTGTCTTAATGTATTATGATGATAAACAAATAATAAACAAAAAAATTATGCGCCCATTTTTTTTTATTAAATAAATATTTCTTCGTGTGAATATTAAAAAAAAATAATAAGCCTAAACCCATTTGAGTGTTGTTGCTCGTAAAGGCATTTGTGTTAATGACCAAACTTTATTTTGTTTTTTTCGTTCAGTTATAACCATTTGAAGATAACCTATATTTAATGATAATTTAAACAAATCATAAACATTTGGTTGCCGTCCAACTAAATCCCATGTTAAAGTTTCAGGTGATGTTGCATGACCAACAAGAAGTATATTAGGTGATGAAGAATTTGTATCATTATGACGTTGTTCAATTTCACGTATAATATATTTTGAACGTAGATAATATGCATCTGCACGTTCGATAGGAGGTACAAGTGTCATTATAGGTTGATAAGATAAATCAACATTAATTCCATAATTATGCCAGTCAATTGATTTAAGAAATATATTCATACCAAATCTTGCAGAACCTAATTCTAATAGACCAGGTTCAATACGTATTGATATTTTATTTTCTAAGCCAAGACCTTTTAATATGTGATATGTTGTTAAGATACAACGCATAGCTGGTGATGAATAAACATATGATGGCTCATATTGATTTATTCCTAAAACTCGGCCAACATTTTGTGCAGCATTTAAACCACTACGTGTTAATGGTGTATCCACTGCCCAAAAATATGGATTTGAACGGGTTGGTAAACTTGGTGGAAGATTTATATGATATGGATGATATTGACCAAATTGGTCGAATGCTAACATAAACCAATTTGGACCAAAATACCGATCGACTCTTTCACCATGCCGGATAATAAAAAATCGCATATCACAACCATCAATAGATTGTTCTTGTTTTTCTTGTTGTTCATGACGTCTATGATGATTATAATGATGTTGATGATCTTTTTCGATTTCATAATTTATTGGTATTGTTGATGATCGAGAAGGACCATTCTTTATTGAATCAAGATTACGACTTGATGATTTCTTTTTAGATTTTTTTTTTGGACTCTTGTGCGATTGTAGATTTAAATAAATAGAATCATCAGATTTAACCGGTATGATATCAATCGGTACTATATTGATCGGTATTGGTGTTTTTATAGAAGATTGATGTTTATTTGTTGTATTATCCAATAGAGAGTCTTCATCTATGTGTAACAAATTAATATTATTGCTTGCGTTGGTCATTGTTGATTATACTATTAAAGTTGCTTTTTCTTTCTCCTAATAGATCGATCACCTTTATAATGCACACACTCCTTGGGTGCATTTTCCTTCGTTTTTTTCTACATACACATCAAAACACCTGTATTACATCAAGCATGGCCTCTTTTTCTTGCTGACTTCGATAAGGCAGACAGGTTTGCATAATAATGAAGGTTGTCTCTATTACTTGTTTTCATGGTCATATACAAAAGATATAGTTGATAGTATATTCCTTTCTTTTTTTTGTACTGTAAATGTTTACAATTTTTAAGCAAAAGATTTAATAGGTCGCGCTTTCCATATATGAGTTTTTGCATTACGCTCAAGAACAACTGTATGCAAATATGGTATTTGACCACATTGTTGTCCGAATAAATAAGGATCGAATGGTTCCTCGAAAGCAATACTAGGAAAAATTAGTGGTGATGCTGCATGGCCAACAATAAGTATATTCGAACGTCGGTTAGATCCACGTCCAAAGCCAAATTTTCGTGTCGTATGACCATGACGTTGTTGAATTTTATCAAAAAATTCTTTACTTCTTAACCAAAAATCTTCTTCAGTTTCATATAGATTTATAGCACGATTAATTGATTGATAACGTCGATCTACATTATAACCTGCTTTTTTCCATTCACCAGTTGACATAAATGGTGGTATCATATTAAGTTCTTGGAATGGTTTATTCCAAGCGAGTGGTTCAAATAGATATGTTTCAAGACGAATAGGTACATTACTTCGATTCATACCATGTAAAATAGCATTTGCTGTAATTACACTACGACAAGCAGGTGATGAATAACAGTAATCAACAGAAGCACCAGCTCTAGATAATTGTTGTCCTTTATAAAAGGACTTTTGTTCACCTATTCGTGTTATTGGTGGATCAAATACATAAAGTAAAGTATTTGAACGATGTGGCAATCGACTTGGTAATAATGGATGTCGATAATTTTGCGGTGATGCTGATGAAACACCACCAAATATTTGATCATACCAGTTCTCACCAAGGTCTACATCAATACGTTCGGCATGTCGAACTATAATCAAACGAAGATCATAATTTTGCATATTATTATTTTGAGGATAAACGGCTTCATCATATAGTTTAACGGTTTCCTGTCTATTATGATAAATTCTATCATCATTAAAATAAGCGGGATGCTTGACTACCAACATTAGAATACGTATATGTAATATAGGGTACTTTTTCTAAAAGAAGACAAAAAAAAGAAGGCGAGCGAGTGAGAATGAAACAGTATTTACGGTGAGCGATCATGCATGGTAGCTGAAAGATATGTGAAATATGTATATAAATAAGTGCACATAATGATCATATAAATCAATAATAATTAAAGAAAAGTTAACAAAAAAGCGCACGATCAAGGTTCAATCGTCTTTCATTACCCATATCTATCGGGAAAAGAACAGTTAAAGAAAATTTATGACGTTATTTGGTTTATTTTTGCTTTTCTTACCTGTATACATTAATGAAAGAGAAAAGCACACCTTCAATGACATGAATATATTAATTGATTGGTTTATATGGTTGTACGAGGACATTAGTTTTGTTGTTATCGTTGTCCTCAGATATGCAAAAGTATGATAGGAAACTAAAAAAATGGCCTCATTAGCTCATAATTAAAACCCAAGTATATATATTATTTTCCTCTCTAAACCAACAATTATCACTTGAAGTCATAGAAATATTGATTTATAAAAGTTAACACACGCACACACCCCTATATATATGTCGATCGAGGTTATAACTGTGATTAAGTTAAACGAGCAAGAATTAAATGTTTGAATGACATCACCAGAAAAGTACTTAGCTGAATGATAAATGTATTTTTCTATACGAAAAACAATCCATTATATACCAGGAGTTATTTTCAAGAAGATAAACAAATATCTACAGAAGATTATCCGTTTGAATTATTCGCTACCTATACTTTTTGTTTTGATTGATATGAAGTAGAAAAACTCTGATAGTATTTCTGTTTTCATGATTTGACAAACTTGTAGTTCTCTGATGAAAAGTGATTGTGTGCTGTTCACTTACAATATATATAGCTCAATGATAACATAATGATTTATATAATATGAATTTTATAATTGCCTCAGTTTCAAAATTAGATTTGAAACTTTGACTAATGGAATACGGGATAAAAACGTAAGGCACTGTTTCTATTGTGAATAGTTTTACTCGAACGTGGTCTATGAAAGATGTCAAATAATGATTTAAATAATCTTCAAAATGAGCTACAAAGCTGAGATATTAATGTTTTCTTAAGTTCAGCTATTTGAGTTTCTAATGCAGGACTTATTTTGCTACATTGGACAAAATTCGAAGACTCTATTGATATTCTATCAATTTTTCGCTATTTAGTAATCATTAAAAATATATTTTCTATACCGCTCAATAAGTCATATTTATGTAAGATGTACTTTTTGAGTATCATTCATCTCAATTAATTAACATCAATTAACAGTTATAGAAAAATTTTGTTTTAACTTTTAAGTATATCATTTGAAAGAGAGTTGAAAACTGAACTTCACTTTATTGTACTTACATCAAAACGATTCATTTTAGTAATTTCATAATCAGATTAGTAAATTTTAATACAGTTTCTAAACTCGAAGTTTAATGTATTTTACAGAACAGACTTTACATTTTCGAATGCAATCTAACTATCTTCTATGTAATGCACTTTTCAGTCGGTACAACGATTTTAGTTTGGTTAAGTGTCTTATCGAAGAAAAAGAACTAGAAAATATCATTTAAATCGTTCATGAAAAGTAAAACTATTCCATCGACTGAAGAGAGTATTATTATAAAGAAGACAGTTAGATCACATTCGAAAATGTAAAGTCTGCTCTGTAAAATATATTTAATATCAAATTTTCAAGTTGTGTTATGGAGTTTAACTGTACTAAAATAATAGCACAGTATAGTAATAAAATTTACTAATCTGATTATTGCAATAATAAAACAAAATGTCTCGATACAAGTAATTTAAAGTTAAGTGCAATTTTTAATACTCTTTCGAATGATGTACTTGAAAGTTAAAATAATATTTTTCTATAAATATTAATTAATTAAGACTAATGATATTTACAATACATCGTACGAAAATATAACGTATTGAATAGCATAGAAAAGAGGTTTTCAATGATAATTAAATATCGAAAAATTGATAAAATATTAAAATTGCTTTAAAATTTAGTCAACTATCGCAAAATAACTCGTGCGATAGAAACTCAAATAACTGATATTAAGAAAGCATTTCAATGTTAACGTTGTAGCCCATTTTGAAAACTATCGAAATCATTATTTGTTATCTTTTATAGACCACGTTCAAGTAAAACTACTCACAAAAGAAATACTGTCTTAAAGTTTTATCTCACATTCTAGGTGTTTAACGTACAGTTTTGCAAACAAGTTCTTATCTTGTGCATTATTGATTTTTTTTCTTGTAGAAAATAGGTTTATTGTTCAGCTAAATATTTGATCGAAGTAGTATTCTGATGATTTACTTCAGATATAGAATGCGCTCGTTCCTTTAAGATAATCCACACAACTTAGATACGACATATAAACATATATTTTTAAACTCAATGATCAAATATAAATTTAATAAAACATATAAATAGTACCGCGTTAATTTTTGTATCTTTTTCCTTTTTTCATTATTGTCTTTTTTCTTCTGCTATGATAAATTTATAGGATGGATGTATGTGAAAAATATGTAATCAATCCATGTGAATCATTAAATTACTGTTCAAATATTGATGATTATCGTCCAATACAATCTACATTACTAACGCGTTTTACAACAACAGATTGTTCAGAATTATGGCGAACATCAAATCAAGATTATGGAGCATTTTATTATCAACAATTACCTCAATATTGTATACCTGATAATCTAAAAGCTAAAATTTATCAACGTCATAATCGTTTTCAAGATTGGCTTTCATATCAAAATAAATATCAAAATTTAGTAACATCATGTACAACAAATTCGAATCATAATAATAATAGTCAAAGAATTTTACCATCAAATAGAAATGAAACGGTACGTATAACACATCGAAAAAGATTCTTATCGAAATGTAATGATGAACTAAATGATAATCAACAAAATCCAAATACTTTTTCACCATGTGGTGAAGATGGATTAGTAAGAATTTTTAACTTGAAAATTTTTAAAATAAATAATAAATTTCATTTATTTAGATTACAGAATATATTGTTAAAAAAATACTTAATAAATTACAATGTTTAATTTGTCCTGATGAATATCATGATGTTATTGAATGTGCACAAATACTTGTTAGCGAAATTCTAAGTCAAGAAGTAAAGACAAAAAGAAAAACTACCAATAATGGCGGAAGTATTTTATTTCCTTAAAGAAATTTTCTTTCTATAAGGTCTAAGAGTAAACAATGCTCTACATTTCTCTAGAGATTTTATCATTCTTCAACTAATATTATAATAATAAAATTTTGATAACAGTTGTTTGTTATGATATATAAGGGTAATATTAGATCATATTTTGCCTTCGATATATACAGAGTGTCCCAAAAGTCACTTACCAAAATTAATATCGTATATCTCTACCCTAGCTTGACCAAATGAGCTCATTTTTCTTCTGACGATATAGGAATATTATAAGTTTTTATTAATACACCAACAGCATATTAACACGCTTCAAATCAATCACCATCCGCCTGGTTACAGACTTTAACATTTTTTCCATCAGTAGTGAACCATAAAAAACACAAAAAATTTGGAAAACTTGTTCACGTATCCTGTTTTGTCGAGTTTTTTCCGCTGATCATTTTGATAAAGAAAAATTTCTATTTTCATCAACAAACGGCAATGCTAGAGTAAAAACAATGAACAAGGTGAGGTTATTGTGGAACTCTGAATCCGCGGAGCAATGCAACGTTTTTCGGTATTTTGATTCTAGCATTGTCATTTTTTGATGAACATAGAAACTAGTTTTTATCAAAATGATCAGCGGAAAAAGCTCTACAAAATAGGATATATCAACTATTTTTCGAATCCCTTTGTCTTTTTTGCGTTGACTATTCCTAGAAGTATCCTATCAAATGTTAATTTTAGTCTTCAGGATTTTTCAGAAACTTTCTGTATTAGAACAGCGAAGAAGATCCTTTGAAGTTTTCAATAAGTCAGATAGCTTAGCAAAGACTCAAAAATTGTAAGTAAATTATTGAAAAAAATTGGAAAATTAAACAACATGATGAACTTGAATTATATGACAGAAACTGAAAATTTCTCATTTTTCTTTGGTAAAAAGTATAAGTGTTTCTGATATAAGTAGTTGATTACAGTTTTAAGAGAAATTGTTAAACTTTTTCCTGATGAATAGAAACTTGGAACCTTTTTCTATCATCAGAAAGAAAAGGAAGTCATTTCATCGAACTAAGATGGAAATATACAATTTTGTTTTTTGGTAAGTGACTTTTGGGACACCCTGTATCTTCTTTTTTCTTGTCTCCTCTAATGTCTAGCCGTCTATATGTATACGGGTATAGAAAAAATCATGATAATACAAGAAAAAACTTGTTTGTTTCTTTTCTTTTCTGTATACCGTCATATGCTTTAGACTTCTAGGTATTAGAGGAGACGAGAGAAAGGGTGATCTATAAAGAACGCCCAGTATAAAAAAGCAACAGCTCTCTAGAATAGACATCGGCATCACCGCCGTGAGTCACGGTCACGATCGTGACCTCTTTTCGAAAAAAAGTCGTGACCGTAACGTGACCGTGACCAAAACCTGGTCACGACCAGTCACAATAAATTTTCAATGTAACTATATAGCAGTTATTTTCAAACTTTATAGAGAATTAAATATTATATTTAGTATTCTTTCAATATGTATCAATATCCTTTTCTAATTATGCTAACTCAAAACGAAGGAATAGAATCAATACAATCGCAATACCCGAAAAAATATACTCAGTAGTAATATGTTTTAAAAGCTTCACATAGCAGAGNTCGCAATACCCGAAAAAATATACTCAGTATTAATATATTTTAAACAGTTCGCATAGAAATACTTTAGAAAAAAATGTACCATTAAAAAATATGATGACCTCCTTGAACAAGAATTACGTCATTTTCATATATTTTCGATTTTTTTGATTTTTATCAGATGACTTATTCGACGATTGATCATTTCTCCACTTGTTCTGATTTCGCTCATTTCTATTCAGGCTTTGGCCAAATAAACTTTCAAGAACTTTAAGATATTTTCTCAAAAACAAATTCATCAATTTTTTCATACCTAATCCTTTTCATTTATCTGTTATATTACCTTGCACTGCTCTGCACGAGGAGATCCGAGGTTTTCTATTGTGTCTAATCGCAAAACTTTTCCAGAGGGTCTTGTGTTGTGTCTCTTTTGTTTTTACAGATTTCAACTAAAAAGATCATTCAGAAAGCCAAAGCGATTTTGATGCTTTGAGAAGGAGTTTTTCGGATTTTAAAAGCCTAGATAAAATGTTGAAAACACTTAGTTAAGGTTTTCAGATCAAAACTCTGAAAACTAAGCATATTATGGTGTAAATACGGTAGTTGAAATTGTCCTTTTTCGAAAAATTCAATAATTGAATGAGGTCTTATACTAAGTCTCGCACATATTTTATCTAAGAGGGTCTTCTATTATGAAAACCTTCTAATATAGGGATTTCCTATCGGAAGAGAAGAGTATGCTATTTTGAGAAAAAGAAAATAGTCGTTTGTATAGAGATTGGCGTGGCTATCGTGACTCATGGTCACGACGGCAACGGTCGTGACCGTGACCGTAACCGTGACCAGACTGATCGTGACCGTGACGTGACCGTGACCAAAAAATATTAGTCACGCCGATGTCTACTCTAGAAAGAGTCTGTTTATTCAAATATATATATATTTCACTCCTTTCTATTAAATAAATATATCAAAAATAAAAGTGAGCATATGTGTTAGCATTCAATACTGGATTGGACAAGAAGTTTTCGTTAGAACTTCCATTAGTCTCTAGATAGATGTTACATTCGAATTCTTGTTGATGAACTGTAGTGAAGCAATGATATTTCAGATATTACAATCATCAAACAGGATTTGTTGAAGCTATAGTGAAGATACTATGGTAATTTTTCAGCTCTACATCCTGATGTTTTTGCAAGATATTTAATAAACAAATGTCAAAAAATAGCTTATTTGACAATTCGAAGTTCTCTGTGAGTTTTCATTCTATATACTTATTTTTTTTTGTTTGAAAAAGAATGTTATAATGCAAGATATAGCAGAGCCATTTTTTTTTAAATTCTTCTTTTTTAATGATAGAAAAGAGATGAAAAGTTCAGTATCTCAAAAAATGACGCTCTAAGTTTAAAAAAAGACTCCTTGATATTATAGTAAACAAGATTAATTTAAAAATAAAAGGAATTCTATCACGCCCTGCATCTTAACATACTTTTTCAAATAAACAAAAAACACCATAGACTACAATGAAGCTCCTTCGAGAATTGGAGAAAGCGCGATCCAAAAACATATTTTTCTAGCAGAAAATGACGATAATTTTTCAAAAAAAATCGAGATACCAATTAAACACATTATGTTATCTATGAAAGATCAGACCTCGGACTATCTTCCCATGCATTTATCTCAAGAAGATATTCACAGTAAGTATCTGAATATTCTCTATGGATGATCTATATGATTGAAGAATAATCAAATTTTGCGAGAAATATAAAGCATTGTTTTTTACTATGAGACTACATAGAAAGAAAGTTTCTTTAAGAAATTAAAATACTTTCTCCATTACTTTTCTTATATCCTAAGTATTTCTTTTTAAAACTTATCTCTTCAGCCATGTTTATTGGCAAATGACATTGTTGATCGAGTTGTTACTATTATGATTACTCCTCCAAATAATATTGAACAATCAATTTTTAATCCTTGTTATTCATATACTTCAACAAAACCAATATGTTGTCCTTCTCCACAACCATTACCTGATAATTGTCAAACAATAGAACAACCAAATATAGTTAACAATGAACTTCCTGTATGTACAACTGTCAATACTTCAGTATCATTGACTAATTGTAATCAAACAATACCTTTCTCAAATGTTTTTGAAAAACTTATTCATCTTGAAGTATATTTTAATATCAATCTTAAATCTAATTATTATTATATTGCTTTATTTGTTTTTAGAATGCTATATCAAAAGTTTCCAATGATTTTGTCAAATCATAAATTTCTTTTTGGTTGTTTATATTAAGCAATTTTAGTTTTAGCGAAATAAATAAATACAATGTTAAAGATAAATAGAAGTTTAATTTGTTATGTAGATGCTTTCATTTCAACATGTTGACCACTAAATGGACAGTTACCACTAACAATTGATCCTCGTCTACGTTGGAGATTTGCTGGTCGCTTCATTGGTGGTGAATGATCTTCCGCATGAATAACATTTGCATTTGGTTTATTACCAGTTTCATACATAGTTGCTTGATGTTGACTAATTGTTGGATGACTTTCATCATGAAGTCGAAGTGCATCTTGTCCAATAGCAGATGTATAGTCAGTTTTCGGACCAATTAACCAATATGTTTCAATCGTACCTCTACCCTAAGATTTATTAATTTAAAAAAATGAATTTAATTTACAGAAGAAAATTTCTCTTTTTTCTTACTTTCAGCTCTGTTTTGCCTTTACTTTGAATGTCAAAATACGTTGTATCTTTGAGAAGTGCATAAGATGTATCACTTATATGAACTCGTCCTGGCTAAAATTAACAAATTATTTAAAAACTATTACACACAAAAAGAAAAATCTTTTTTTACTTCTCCTGTTGTTGTTATTCGACTTGCCTAAAGTATCAAAAAATAAAAACATAAAATAAAATTATCAAAAAATTAATACAATTTAAAATTTAAAGCTTAGCCAAAAATAAAATAAATCATAAAACAAGAAAATCTAATCATTTATACTTGGATAATTTTCAGTGAATTCTTTTTTGCGTGAAAGAATAATGAATTAGTATAAGTGTTATTTTTTACCGTATTGATTGTATCTCCAAAAAGACAATATTGAAAATTTTTTGCACCAACAATTCCACCAACAGCTGGACCCGAGTGAAAACCTATGAAAAAAATTCGAAATAATCAATGAGGAAAAGAAAAAAAGCAAAAGATATTTATTTGTTTACCAATTTTAACTCGAAATGGTTGTTCTGTCATTGGATTTATAAGTCTTTTGGAACTTTTAACTAAATCAAGCGAAAGTCCAGCAATAATTTCTGCTTGATTAAGACCTAATGGATTTTTCACATCACCAGTAAGGTCTTCAGTAAGTGTCACACTATGTAGTGTTGATCCACTCTAACAAGATAAAAAAATACATGAACTTAATTAATAAGAAAGATATTTACTAGATTTTAAATACTTAAATCTAATTGTCATTCTCAAAAAACAAAAATATAAATTTTTATGAGTATGTAAATTGATATTTTTTACATTAAAAATTTATTATAAGGTTTCAAAAGAAGAGAAGTATTAGATAAAAATTCTTTAAAATATTAATCAAAACAAAAGAAACATAAAAAACTATGCGTGATCTAGATATTCCACATCTCGGAAAAAGAAGATTATCTTCTCTTTCAATAACCTTGTAGTACAAGATACTGTTCGACGACAGTTGTCAAAGCTCGAGGTTTTTCTTAATATTAATCTTGCTGTAGCTCAGGGCAGAAATGATTAGCCTAACTTAGAGTTCTTTCCTTGCATGAATTAAGCTTTTTGTTCACACTGATCAATCTTATATTAACTACAAGGAACGATTTATGTCAATGGATAGTGAAAATGCGATCAGGTGAATGATCTGACATAAAGAGTAATCAATTATTTGCCCAAGGTTATTCTATATTTGGCAGTGCTACGTCTCGAACAGAATACTTTGAGAGCACATGTTGAAATAACTGAATTGTTCAGCCACAATGACCTTAAATTTTGAAAGAAAACTATATATACTATGACTTGACCCTGTAGATAATCTGCGCAAGTATTAATAAATTAAGATAAATGAAACAATATTGCGGAATTTAAAATTAATGAACGTATTTTTCTTCTATAAATAGAAGTGTTGACATTGTTAGCCAGTATAAACACATAGCCAGCTGATTTCCTACGAACAAAGTCATTTTTTTTTCTTAAGAAAGTGAACTAACAAAGTTACTAATTAACAGAAAAAGTAAACGATAAACACATTCGACAATTCCATATGTTGATTGTTTAATACTAAATTAAAAGAAAAGAAAGCTTACAGCTGTTGATGCACGTCGTTGCGTAGCTACTGAACGATCTTGTATACCAGCGACAACCATATAAGATGAATCTGCTTTTGTTTCAACTTTAAATACATCAAAACGCTCTGCACATTGATCAAATGCATTAACAGTAGCATTTATTGATTCAACAATTTGTTCCGGTTTTAATTTTTCTACAACTTCTTTAAAATCAAGTGAATATGCAAAAAGAACAGTTATTAATTTATGAGACTAGTAGATGACAAAAAAAGAAAGATAAAGATTCATTTTTTTTTGTTTGTTTTTTGGAAAATAATAAATTTTCTTACTTCACATATTGAATTAGCTAAAACACCATCTTGTAATAATTGTGCAACATGCCTTGGCATCATATTATATAAAAGACGTTTTCCTTTTCGACGCCATTCTTGTAATTCACGTTTGGAATTTTTTAATTTTGCTATCCATGCTTGTTGTTTATCAATAGCTGCTTGTAGTGTTCGAGCATGTTGCATACCAGCAATAAGAATTTCACTACTACCATCATAAAAATTTAAATCATTTAAAAATAAACCAACAGCAAGCATTTCTTCTGTTGTTGTTAATCTAAATTAAAGATAAAGTTAATGTTAGTATTAAATTTAATATTATTATGTACATTGGACGACAGAGAAAAGCAATCATATTCCAAGCAGCAATTGATTTCATTTGTCCTTTAAGACGAAGTTGTGCATTAGATGCTGATGTACCAAATTTTTTTGCAAGTGCAGATAAATTTGGACGAAGTGGTATTCGATTTTCAACTACAAATACTAGATGTCGACCATAAGAAAGTACCTTAAGATATATTTAGATAATTATTTTCTTTTTTTTAATTTTAAATAAATATAAAAACAAACCCGATTCCATTCAAGTAATATATCTGGTCGAATAAGACGAAAAATATCTTCAAAATGCCGACCATTGAATACAGTACCAGGTGGGAAAACCGCTTTTACTGAATTTCCCATATGATGTATGCGCATATTTGAATCAATTAAAATAGCAAATGGAAATATCTATAAACACTTAATTCAAGTCTTATTATCATCAAATAGAAAAATTCAAATAATAATGTAATCCCAATATTACATTTGTCATTCTATAGAATTTGTTTAAGGAATATAGATCTGAATTAATCCAGTAAAATTCTTATTTTTTTTTAATATTTACAAAAATATTTTTTAATATTTTCTTTTTATTGAACTGATTGAACATTATAACTTTCATGTTCTCTTGAAATTCAAATATAAAAGTTTTTAGTTCTTTCTTTTTCCATAGGTGTACATTCTAAAGTCGTACATCTATTTATGATAGATAATTTTCTTATAGATGTTCTCGTTTCAAATAACTTTCTACAGGTAGTTAGACGGAAATGCTCCTACTGTTTTTCAGAAGAAAAAAACTCTTACTTTAAAAAATGTTGCACCGGTCACATCAGGTAATTTTGGATTATTCGCAATAGCTTTTTTAGAACTACTTGCGAGCTTATTATTAAAATCCACACGAAAAACAATATGAGTATCTTGAATAATGAACATATATTTTATTTTCTCTTGCTTCAAAAATTCAAAAATTCTTACATTCATTTGATGAAAGATCATCTTGAATGCGAACAAATATTTCTTGTTTAAAAAATTTGAACGCACATGCTCTCAATTGTCCAATGATATATTGTTGAAAACCTCGACGTTTTGATCTAAATGTTACAAATGAACTAAATAGGCATTTTTTTTGAAAATTTTTCTATTTTACTTATAATGTAAAACCGCACCATTGTCATCTTCGTCTGTAACATGAAATAATGGTGATTTCATTTTTGGAAAACTAAATCTATTTGAATCATGAAGTTGATCAATAGAGAAAAGAAATTCACGAAAATGTCGACCAGCTACACGTAAGATTTTATCATAACCATAATTTGTAAAAAAGTTTACAAAACATTCGCCAAAAAATTGCATATAAAAGTCTGGTCCGCCATCATTTAAAGCTTCAGCAAGACCTACAAATAGATTCATATCAATATATATATATATATATCTACACAATCAATAGAAAGAAAGAAATCCTATAAAAAAGAAAACAATCTTACATTCAGCAAGTCTTTCAACAATAGCTTCATCATAACGACCAAGAGTTGTAAATGATTCAGATTCAAAACTTAATTCTTCAACAAGTCTTTGCCATGTTGATGCTCCATATGTATGACAAATACCATCTCGACAACTTTCAAGTAAAATTCCATAGATCATATTTGACTTTTTATTTTTGTCTTCTAGAATCTCTTCTTATATAGATATATATATATATAGAAGTGCGAATATGAAAAAGATTGCGGATATATGTATCAACAAACTTAATCGCATTTCCTCTCATCGATATTTCATTTCTACACTCCGACAACCAACCATTTTCCACTCGTGTTACTTAAAATATTTTCCTGGAGAAAAATCAGATAAGCTTATTACAGAATTAATTGATTAAAAAAATGATTATAGAAAAATTTGATTATATATTCATTCATGTAAGTTAGCAGGCAATCTTAATCAAATACAAAAACATATAAAAATTAGACAAACCATATTTCGAAAATTTTTAACTAATCTTTTTTTTTAAAGATAATTTCTTCATATTTTCTAAGTGAATGTCATTAGAGGACGATTAGATAAAATTAACAGCTTTTTCTTCTTTTCCTCGGGAATTATATAAATAGTAAAAAAAAAAAGAAAAAAGAAAAAAGTTAATTAACTTTTTCTGTTCTTTTATCTTGCGCTGTCATAAAGGAGATTAATTTCTTAGAAATATCATCTTATGTGTCATCTTCATTGTCCCACCGTGTAGAATGTCATGATTTATGTGTGTAGCAGCAGGAACTTTTTATTTATATAATAGATTTTATGGAATAAAAAAGGATATCTACATAAATAAGTTAAAAAGAAAAGAACTCGTTTAGTATTTTTTTTCTCTGTTTTTTTGTTGCTTTGATCGACTGTTCATATTTAATTTGTTTTCTTTTTGTTTTAAATAAAATGCCACTCGACATTTGTTTGACCAGTGCCAAGCTCTCCAGCGACTGCAATAAATGCTTCTTGTGTTAAAGCAAGATCACCTAAAACAAAAATAAATATGAAAATCAGAAAAATCAATACACACAAATTAATAAAAAAAAGATGTACCTGCTTTACAATCAGGGCATCGATCAATAAATCGAACTAATATTTCACCTATTGGACCTTTAATTACAGCTTTCTTTTGACAGATTGGATTTGTACTTGGAATACCATTGATAGTATATGGATCGAATTGTGCTTGATTAAGTGCAGCACTATATACTTTTCTATTATTTTCGTCCAATGCTTGTCCTCGTTGAATACCACATGTTGAGTATTGTGAGCCAACCTTGGTTTCATTGTAATATGTCGCTTGTCCTTTAAATTCACCTTCAAGTGATACTGGTTCATTATCACCTGCTGATTTTTGAAATGCACAATAAACACCGATTGTACCACAACTAGAATCATTCAAAAGAAACTTCGATTAAGAAATACAAATATAAATAAAACTACATACTATCCATATCGTGTACAACAAAGACCAGAGCCACATGATGTAGCACCACAATTACCGTAAGAAACAGTACCACAATAAGCAGCTGTACTTCCACAACTATGCAGATAAAAATAATGAAATTTCAAATGAATATTTTCTTTCTTTCATTCATAATAAAAGAAAAAGTAACTTACTATCCATATTGTGAACAGCATGTACCGGCTGGGCAACCAGTTACTCGACATTGACCTGCATTAGGAGCAGGCGCAATAACAACAACAGAAGGAGGACCACCACAGTATTCAGGTGTTTGTCCACAACTAATTTATTACAAATCTCTCATATTATAGAATATCTATTTCAAAAATATAAAATACATACTATCCATAAGGTGAACAACAATACCCAGCTCCACAACCTACAATACGACAATCACCACCAACAAATGGTGTACCTGACCATCCTGGATATACAGCAGCGGATGAACCACAATATTGAGTACCTGAACCACAAACACCAAATGCTGAACAGCAAAGACCAACACCACAATATCCAGAAATTAAACAATTACCAGCTAGATTAAATCATATGAATATTTATGAACAGAAATCTGTTTCTTTTATTTCTTTCAAACTTACCAATACTATTCACAAGTAAAAGTAGTAAAAGACTAATACAACCAACGATGTACATGATGATATTTTGTATGAATGTATTTCGATGTATTGAGTTCGAATGTAAAATGAAGATGACACTTATTGCTCTAAAAATGCAAGGAGTTTTACTCTTCTCGTACGTTTAAATAGACCTTTAATCCATGTATAAATATTCGTGCATTTATAAATATACATTAAAGAACAATATCCTTGACGTCTACTTATTTCATTGACATTTTAGATATATCTATACAATAGTAAATGATCCTTTAGAAGGTTATAAACTTCATTTTATACTTAATACAAATTCAAACTTGACTTTTTTCGTATTCAAATTTAAAAATACTTTTCGATAACTTGAAAAAAAAACATAAAACGTAGGAAGACAGAATTAAATAGGCTACCTAATCCTAGTTATTGATGTAATCGGATTTATTTTATAACATAGACTATTATGTATGTTGTTATACTTGATCTAGATTAACATATGATAATTGACTAGAAACTTGTAAATTATTGATCGTTCAATTTTTTTGTTATTTTCTTGTAGTTTTTATTACAACTTTCTGTTCGTACCTTAAATATTTTTCTTGATTAAAAAAAGAGAACTGATAAATTCTTTGCATTTTTCTTTTTCATGACAAAATTTTTTAAGCATAAATCTCAATAGATATTACTTCTTTTTTAATGTCATTTTTAGAATTTTAATCAAAGTAGACAGAGCGTCCAATTACCGTAAATTTATTTATCTAATTAAATATTATCTCATATATAATTTTCAATGTCTTCTAATATTAAGTTTTTGGATTAGCAAGAAAACAACATGTTAAACCGTATTCCTGTTAAATTATAACATATTAATGATACACATTAAATACATTCATATTTTTAATGGAAAACTTAAATAACTTAAGTTGCCTACATTAAAGTATGATATTCAGCACAATTTGCTGAACATGACAAAATTGAATCATGTGTAGTTTGAAGCTGTGTAATACTAGAAGATAGAACATGATGTTAAGTCGATATAGAAACTTGTTGAATAAGAGAAGACTAATCATTCGATGGATTAGAAACTGATTGAGGATCAAAAGCATTGCTCCCGTGAATAACAGAGGATAATTAAAAAAATTTGACGAAGCTATACCATTGCCACTTGTGAAAAAGAATGAAGATAATATAGAATGAAAAATAGTTGAATGTAGAGATCAAGTTAATGTTGGAAATGGAAATACATGACTATTACTGATGATTTTATATGGTATGAAAGATCGAATGTAATGGTGCTGTATTGATTGTTGGATAGTAACTGCTATTCAAACCATTAAATTTGATGTTGTTGAAACTTGACATCAGGATATTTTATTGTTACTGCCAAAAAAAGTCATTTTCAATGTCTATATTTGAGTAGTAAAAGTACAAATAAAAAAAATCTTTTTTGATATTCTTACTGACGTTATCTGATTTACGCAAAAGCTGATCAACACTTTAAGAATAATTTCCAGTTGATTGAAGTGTTATTAATTGGCTCAATCATTGATTTCAACGAGACATATGAGATTCTCTTGGTCAAATAAGATTTCCTATGCAAAATTAAAGAAGAAAGTAAGATAATAGAAGCGGACACAATACTTCAGTTAATACTTGTTGAACTATCAATAAATATAATGATAATAGATCTTACCCAGAAGAAGAATTTACAATAGTCTTCTAATGTTAACAATAACTTGATTTACGATCTTTAGTCATTACTGATTCATATTTGACGTAATCGTAATTTTTTCCTACAAGATGAATAAAAAAATAGCAAGACTCATTAAACTCTTGTTGACGATATTGTTGTGACATTTGATTGATGGATATTATTGGTATATAATAACATATGTCTATCTGATTTATTGAATGGACAACTTTTGAAAGATCAAAAATAGTATAAATAAGATTTTTATTATTGCTAGTTTTGTTTCTCAGATGATATACCAATTACTTTGCAAAGTTCTTACAGTACATGCAGAAATAATTTAGCTGTACGTGATATCGACATGATTCAAGTTTCTGTATAAAAAAAACTAACTGATGCATTGTAATTATTGGTAAATGTATGTTTAAAAAATTATTATATTCTTTTTTGATCATAATTTTGCTTAAATTTCAATTTGAAACATTAATTTGATTCCATCTAGTTTGATATTCTGCGGCATCTTTTGTTTGCTTATTGATTCATTTCTTATTACCGTTGCTTTGCAACTTAAATCAAAGCAACGATGTAAATGGCAGCAAGAAAATCTTGTTTTTTTCTTTTGCTCGTTCTACGCCTTTAATAGCGGAAGACAAAGAAAACATTATTTACTTGAAATATTCTAACAACAGCAATGCGGTCGTTGATCGATTGATTGTTAAATAGAGAACAAACTTCAACATTTTGTTAAAAATGAATATTCAAGGAGATCTATCTCCGCGTATTGTTGATTCGGTAATAGCTTCGGCTAGACAAAATCAATCAACAGTAAAAATTAATGAACAATTTTTACAAGAACCAACACTTGCCTTTCTTGAATCATATCAAAATCATTTACGTCCAGCTTTAGCATCAGGTATATTTGTATTATCATTATCTAAATTACAATTAAATTCAATTGGTGATATTGGACAATTTAAACATATACAAATATGTGATTTAAGTTCAAATTTTATTGAAACAATTGATAGTCTTATTATTAATTGTCGACAATTAATTAAACTTGATTTACATTCAAATCGAGTATGATAAACACAAGAAAAAGAAAACATCAAGAATCTCATATATGAAAAAAATTTCTATTTCTTTTTTAGATTAATCAATTACCCGATGGAAAATATTGGAAAGAACTGTCACAATTAAGAGTTCTTTATTTACATGATAATCTTTTATCATCGTATGATGATGTTAAATCTTTGGGTTATGCATCAAGTCTTGAAATTCTTACACTTTATGATTCTCCATTAGGTTTAAAAAAAAATTATCGACATCATGTTGTTAATAGTGTTTGGTCTTTAAAAGTAAATTTACTTAATCAAATATTTTTCTTATGTTTTTTCAAATTAATTTTAATTTTTAAGGCATTGGATACATATGTCATTGCTGATGATGAAATTATAGAAAAAACTCATTTTCCTGAACCTTATGCAGCACATTCAAATGTATTTAAATTAAATTTATATGTTCCAACTGGTAAAGTAAGAAGACAAATAAATAATTAAATATTCGTATTATTTTCTATTGTATTTGTTTCTCTTTTTGCTCATTAATTTTTAGAATTCAGCATTAAGTAATGAGCGACAAATGATTCAACAACTTTTTAAACAAGTCAATAATATTCAATCACATTTTTGTCCAGTACTTATTTTACAAAAAAATTTTCGCATGTGGCTTGTACAACTTCGATTAAAAAAATATTTATTATTGAGTCACAAGTAAATCGAATGAAATTTTTGCTTTTGTGAAACACGATCTAGAAGGACTGTTGAATTATAGAAAGAGAAATTTTCAGCCACTACTGGAGCTCGTCGGGTTCACAACTACTGGATTCGGATCCGGTTCTAGATCTAGATCTGGTCGAACCCTACTTTGATACTTTCAAGGAAATTTTCTAATCGGAATTGGATAGTCGCCTCTAGGATGCGTGATATTTTTTTTCCGACTTTTTTATTCTGTGACAAGCTCACCCTACACGTTTCTGAGATGACTAGAACCCACCAGGTTCAACATTGTCAGACTCGATCGGGTATAAAGTCAGGATCCATCCAACATGCTTTATCGACTTCCTACACCACTCAGACCGTGACAGACGTTAGGTAAGGACCATCATACACCGTAAGAGACTAGGGATGGCCGATACTGTGTCAGGGTTGGAGTCGGTGATTTTGATCCCAATTCTGCGACAGCAAAAGATTCAGAGTCTGCTCCTTCTGATTTAAACTTACAAGAATATTGGAATTAGAAATATTCTCATGAAAGACAATAAAATTGTTATTTATCTTCTTCCAAAGGATTAAATTAGTCTTTGAGAAATTTATTTGAAGAATATTTTTTAAAAAAAAGCACTCTTTTCTCTCGAAAAACAAGATACATTTCAATTGAAGTGTACATATGTATTAATTTATAGTTCCTTTTTGAGTTACACTTGCAAAAGTTACAATAGAGTAGTCATTATGAAAATTCAGTTCATCCTCATCTTGTTCTTCAACAATATTTTTTTTTATCGCCATCCAAAGATTCGTGCGATTTATGTTCAGTCTTCATTCATTGTTGCACATCAATACTGTGTTGTAGTTGTTTTCGGTGATGTTGCATTCGTAATTTGTGACAAGCAATTCCGATTGAAAGAAAGCTTACACTTACTGGTTTTAACACGATCTGTTAATATACGATCAAAGACCGTATATCAATAACGTTTTGTTAGTACTTTCTTATTGTATTTCTGAACGATTAAGTAAAATAATCGTGAAGAAATGTGTCCCATCATCGATAGAATGAAGCAATCTCTCTATCGTTAGCAACAGTAGTTATATCGTGTTTCACATTTTAATCCCACAGAGATCGTGCTAACAGCTTTTGCTTTTTAAATCTTATATTTTAATTTCTTTTTAGACCTCCTCCAAAATTTTTACGCCTAAGAAATCTTTTTTCACCAATGAGTGGTTCATCTGGCAAATTTTCTTCACTTCCAAAACCACCTCGAGCATCAGCTTTAACTGATACATTTCATCATATAGAGGTTTTAATGAAAAATTTCGAAAAAAAACCTAAACAAACTACTTTAATTTTTGTTTCTTTAGCCAATAAAAACTCCTGAATCATATCAAGATAAACGTCATATTAAAATTCATATGAATCAATTAATTAATACTCAAACTGATACAAATCGTTTACCTTATTGTACTGATATAAGTCATCGTTCAAGACAACTTGTTACTAAAACAAGTACATCAAAATATTCAGATGATCGCGCATCACCAATACTTCGTGGTCAAAAATCTCAAATGACTGCTTATGAACCAATCGAAGAAATCAATGATGAAATTCGTGCAGCTAGACAATATGTACAAAATATAAAAGATGAATCACATTTAAAACAACGTAAACGCGCAGCTGAAATCAAAGAAAATAATATTATGAATCGAAATTTAATAAAAAATCATACATTAGATGATCGACTTTTAAGAACAATTCATGGAAGTATGGCATTCGGCTGTTTAGTAGCTATTGATAAAGCTTATAATGACAGAGCAAAAGTTGAACGACGAAAATTACTTGCACAAGAAGTTGACCAAACTCGACAAGAACATGCATTTGTTAATGCACAAATACACGTAATTAATTTCATTATATCTATTTTTAATGCAAAATGAAGGAAAAAAATCTCAAATTCGGAAGTGACTATTTCAAGTAGATCAGATGACTCAAGAACATTAGAGACAAAAGAGAGTCGTTTGTAGCTAATAGGATTTAATATAATCAGTTGACGTCAATGCACATTGAAAACAAGTGTTCTTTTGACAAGTTAATTCAGTACTTCGAAATAGAAGTCAATTACAGTTAGCGATGTTAGTCGATGCATTAGTTGGAGGCGACGACCGAATGTATGCGAACGTTTTTCCACTGTTGACAGCAGCGCCTAGAAATATTTGACGCTCCGGTGGTGGTGCAACTGGAACACTAGAGCGCTAGTAGTGGCAGCTGACATATCTTCAAAATTTTGCGGCCACAGAAGATGGAGGTGGCGGATTAGTCGATTGGGTTAATCTCTCGTTATGATTACATTAAATAACAGTCGTTATTTAGTTTTAAGCTTTCGGATTTCCTGATGAAGGACAAAAACATTCTATATTATGAATTTGAAAAAAAAATCTGATTTGTAGTATCAGAAATCAATTAGTTTTTCATTATTTTCCTTTAGCTAAAAAATTTATTTTTCGGTTATAAAAATAAATTCTTAACATTGATTCGCCATACTATTCACAATGAGTAAATTCAACCATTGAAAATGTCACAAAAAAAAACGAACTCTTTAATAATTACTAATATTTTATTTTTATGCAAAAACATTGTAACAAATCAGTTCTTTGAATCAAAATCTCATAGTTTTACATTCATCGAATTGTCCGTATTTTTAATCAGAATTCCATATTTATGTGTGATATTCATCCTTTTTGTTATGTAAAAAGTATCAAATTTGTTCATCTTTTGAATTCTTTAATACGTTCTCTGATTTCATGAATACTAAAATAATCGAAATAAGATACTCTGTTCTAGATCTACTCATGAGGACAATTTATTCCTTGTTATAACAACAAACTCAACATGAATTTAATATTACGACTTTTATCTATTTTTATATACTATTAAGCATGTTCATGAATCTTAATATATCCTTATTACTATAAATTTATTCAAATAAATCTTTTCAATCATTATATATTAGTTAACTATAAAACCCGACGGATCAATCTCGGACCCAACAATTTTGGGCTTCATAGGCTCTAGTCGTTTGAGACATGTTTAGGGTGCGCTAGTCATCAAATACAAAAATTCCAAAAAAAACCGGGTTCGAATCCAAAATATTTCTGTCCGACGGGCTCTAGTCAATTCTGAAAGTTAAATGCATTTCAACATAGATTTGAAATTGTTTTAAATATAGAAATTGTATTGCAAACGTTTTTTTTAAAGCATGGACATGATGAACGTCTTGTAGCAATTCATCGTGTAAAGGATCAAGATCGTATGAAACAAGCTTATGTTCGTCATCGTGTTGAACATACTCAAAATGAAGTATATGATACAGTTCAAGAACAACGTCTTCTTCTTCTTGAACAACAAAAAAGACGTCGTGCACAAATAGCATTTTCTCAAGGATTTAATGCTCAACATATATCAATATCAAATGCATTAAAACGTCATGAAAGTAATATACGTACTCAACGAAAAGCACGACATGCACGAGAATTAGTTGCAAGACAAAAACAAAATACAGACGAACAAGCTCGATTAATTGAAAAATATTTAACACAACGTAAACATGTTCGTCGTGCTTTATCAAATATTGAACGTAAACAATTAGATGTACAAGCTATGCGTGATGCTGGTGACCGTCTTTTACAAGCGCAACAACGTGTAGCACATATACGTGCAAGAAATTCAAATATTCAACAATTTAGTATTATGAAAATGACACCAAATACTGAAGATTTAAGACAAAAAACACGAAGTTTAACTGAATCCATGCTTGAACGTGATTCATTATTTGATACTATCACAGATCACATGGCCGCTCAACAAACAGTTCAATAGATATATATATATTTTTTTATGTTTTCCTTTTTCTTTTTTTAAGTTTTATAACATAAATATATAAATAAGGAAGATAAAGAAACTGATTTGTAGCAATAAAAAAAAACAGAACAAATTTATTTATAACAAATGTAAAAGTGTTCAGTAATTTAATTAATTTTTCTTATATTTCCATAAAGAAATACTTGTAATCTTCGAATAATTGATATGTCGAATGTATTTCACTACATAATTTCCCATGAGAATGATACTAAAAATAATAACCTATTACTTATGTGGTGAATATTGTTTCGACCCAGTTTGTTTGTTAATCAAACAGAACACTTACACATATATTTCAAGCTTCATGACATATGAATACATTTATTTTTGTCATATTCCCTATAATATTCTTTACTCACATCAAGTGGATTATGTTAGCTTTTGATTGACGTAAATGCGAAGAAATTTAACCTTTTAGTCATTGTCAATAATGAGAGAGAAAAAAAAGAAGCATTCTATCATGATCGTGATTCCAATACCAATATGGATGTGACAACATCACATCAATAATTTATGCAATTGAAATTATTGTATATTTCATCATATGGATATTTTGAAAAAATATACATTTGTAAATCATTCTATACTCATATTGTTTATTGTCTACATACTATTTTTAATTGAAGAAAAAGAAATGATTCAGCTTTTCTATGTTTTCGTTTTATTATATTCTAATTATAAAATGTCCTATTTGATTAAATAACCAGGAAAAAACATACGTATTTAATCGTAAAGTTCAATATAGTTTATTGATAAAAATTCCATAAGGGAAAACTAAAGATAAAAATTCATGATCGTTGTTGTACGATTAATATTCGGTTTTTACCTATGACATTTTATGGGCATATAAATATTCAATTTGATACTTAACATCTAATAATACTTATTTATTCTATGCATATACCATAAATGATTATTCTTTTTGTATTTCTTATCGTTTGAGGTTTTTCGACAACACTAATGAATATCGTGCATAAGTATTGTTTTGTTTTTCTGATATGTTTATATATATGTGCTAAAAATAAGAGTAACAGATTATGATAATGGTGATAAAAAAATTTTATTAAGAATTATTCTGTGTAATTATCATGTTCCTGTAATATGAAAAATTATTGTAAACTTCACTCTCAAATTGAATAAATGCATCATTTTTTGCGTGAATCAATGAAATTTGTAAAGACAGAACTTTCTTGACTTAAACTAAAAAGTTCAGCTAAAATGTGTAATTATTACAATGTGTAATGCGTACATGAAAATGAAAAGTAACACCGTCTCTTTTCGTTTATCAAACATGGCATCCATTACATATATTATACACAGTGGAATTCTGTGAAGGTATATTAATCTTTTCTCTTTTTATTTCACATACATTTGGTACTTGTATATATAGGTTATGAGTATCTTAGAAGACAAAAATAGAATCAGCAAAAAAATGAGGTATTCAACAGTCTTTGAATAGAACACTTCTAGATAAGTATACCAGCATGATGCTCATTGTTCCCTTTTAATTTACCTTTCATTATTCTTTTATTTGGTTCGTTCCACTAAAAAGTATACGCAATTTTTTATCTTTCTTCTATCACTATCTCACAATGACAATAGAAACATTAAAAGAAATCAGTGTATATGTGTGCGCTGAGTATAAGCGTTAAAGAAAAAAAAAAGAAACTTTTTTGTCGCCATCATCCCCACCATTCGTGTCTAAGTAATGTTTGGGCATTGCATATTCAATAATGACGACGTTGATGGAAATAAAGAAGAAAGAAAGAAAAAGAGAGGGAGGGAAAAAAAAAGACGTTTGTATTCAAAAGATATTTATAAATAAGCGATGTGCTTGATAAAAGGAAGATTGATCAGTTAAGAATCGAAAGAAGCATCCAATAAAAATATTGGGCGTCTGGTTTACTACATACTTATCGAGTTTATTGAAACTTTATTTTTTATATTTAGGAAAAAGTAAGTTGTTTATTAATCATTAATTGAAAACATTTTAAAAATATTCACTGACAATAATAAAAAAAGCTTTTAGAATGAAATTTTTTGATCTCATGATTAACAATCAAAAGAACTGAAATTCTGTAATTCTGTTTTTTTTATGAATTCTTTTACACTCTGTCATAGTGAAATTTTCATTATTTTTTTTTATTTCAACATACATGATATGTAAAGGCTTTGGTACGTATATGTTTATGCTGATTGAAATAATGAAGTCGTCATTGAAAAAAAAAAATTTTCTTTTGCTTTTTTTTGAAAATAGAAGAGAACGAGGAAAAAAAACATTAAGACAGAGAACAAATTTGTTTACTGATCGTTCGTTTCTCTTGTCTGAAAAAATAAAAAGTCTCAGTAAATCAGCCACAAATAAAGTACTTAATCTTGACATCATCGATTTCTTTTGCGTGACAGAATTTCACTTTACTGTTTGAATTTGTTGATTCAAGCAAAATTCAAGTGATATTTGCTACCATAGTTGTCGGACGTTCTTATTTCTTTAGTTTTGAACTGTATTGTTGTTTTCTTTCTTCGTTTTTTTCAAGTTCTTTTTTTTTAGTGTTACCTAATTCATTTTTCAAATTTTTCAAATGGCAACAGTACGTCCTATTACTCCATCGAAACCTCCTGAACGTTTATTAACTCGACGATCAACTCGTGGATCAGCTGTATCAACTCCACGTTCTCAAAGAAAAGTAACTATTTCAAAAACAACTCCAATTACAGTATCAACGATAAAACGCACAAATTCATCTCGAATGTCTGTTAAAAAAAGTTCGATTCCATCAATAAAGCCATGTGTTCGTGTTAATTCATTTACAAATATTACTACTGTATCAGATAAAAATGAATTAACAAATAGAATGATTACTACAACAGTCACTGAATTACCTCCTATTAGACGAACTTCAAAAATACAAGATTTAAATATAATAACATCAGATATTCCTATTTTAAAAAATAATTCAGATACCATAATCGATCATACACCAATTGAACAATCACAAAATGACAATCCTATCTCGAATCATATCGATGAAATACCACCATCATCACCATCACCATCAAGTAGATCTTCTATACAAAAAATTCAATTTACAATTGACTCGTTTGATATTGTTCGAACAGTTGGCACTGGTAAGATTTATAGAATTAAGAAAAAATGGTTTAAATAAGAAATTCTATTTGTTTTTTTTTCTTAGGAACGTTTGGTCGAGTACAACTTGTTTGCCATCGTGATACAAATACATTCTATGGTCTTAAGACAATGTCTATAAAACGTATTGTTGAATCAAAACAAGTTGAACATGTACAAAGTGAAAAAAATATTTTATTAAAAATTCATCATCCATTTCTTGTACGTCTACAATGGACAGCACATACAAATTCTTTACTTTATCTTCTACTCGAATATTTACCAGGTGGTGAACTTTTTCAAATGATGCGTAAACATGAAAAATTTAATGCTAAAACAGCTATATTTTATGCTAGTGAAGTTTTACTTGCACTTGATTATTTGCATCATTTAGATATACTTTATCGGGATTTAAAACCAGTAAATATCTTTTTTTTTAATATGTTACAGTATAAATTATTTATTTCATTACTTTTAGGAAAATATTTTATTAGATAGTGAAGGTCATATTCGTCTAGTCGATTTTGGTTTTGCTAAAGAAACTAAAGAACGAACATTTACACTTTGTGGCACTGTTGATTATCTTGCTCCTGGTTAGTAAACATTTTGTTTTTTTTTTAATTTCAATTTCGGTTCTCCAATTTTTTTCATTTCTATTGTCTAGAAGTCATTCAAAATCGTGGTCATCACAAAGCATCCGATTGGTGGGCACTTGGTATTCTAATCTATGAAATGCTTGCTGGTAGTTATTTACGTAGAATAAGAAAAGCAAATTTCCACTTATGTTCATATTATTTATAGGTTATCCACCATTTTATGATGCTGATCAATTTGCTACATATCAAAAGATTCTCTCTGGTAAAATTGAATTTCCACGTCATTTTGATTATGCAGCTAAACAAGTTCTTCGTAAGTTACTTAATACCGACCAATCTCAACGACTTGGTTCAGCAAAAAATGGTGGTGATGAAATAAAACATGAACAATGGTTTGTTAGTGTATCATGGACAGATCTTTATAATCGAAAAGTTGAACCACCTATAAAACCAACAATTACATCACCAAGTGATACAACAAATTTTGATCTATACGAAGAATTCGATATCAAACAAACACCACAAGCAGCAAAATATGAAGTACAACTATTTAAAGATTTTTAATTTCGTATATTGAATTTATTATTTGTTGTGAAAATTTCTTGGTATTATTTATTTTTTTTTCTCTTTATTTTTCTTCGGCGAATATCCATCAATGTATTTCAAGTCATAAAAAACAAAGGTGGAAGCTGGCAGAGGTGATAAGAATGTTTGTAATTCATTATGTGCACTTGTTAAATTCGTGCTTTGAGCAATGAAATTTTCAAGTTTGTTTTCAAAAATAATAAAATGAATTGCAACGACGTATAGAAAATGAATATATGTTGTTAGTATAAACGAAGAGTGTAAAAAAAAAAGAAATTACTTTCTTCATTGTCTTGACGAAGATTATTATTAGCAATACTCTTGTTAACGAATCCTTTTCATTTTCTATGTCGTTCGGTTTTTTTTAAACACCTCATTCAACTAAATTAAGTCAATTATAACATTCGGCTTCTTCTTATTTTTTGCTATGAAAGTATATGTCTATTCTTGTTGTAACTCTTGTGTTCTTGCATTACACTAAATTTATCTTATTAGACATTCTATCCATCAATGATAGTCATTTCTTCCGGATTACAATTATCAATGTTACGTATGAGTTATAATTTCATGCCAAAGTATTTTCTTATCATGGAAGCTTAGGAAGAGTTTCACAAGCAAAAACTATTATTATCTAGTTTATTCATTAGACT